ACTTGTTGATTGGGGTTTGATTCATTCTTGCATATTTGTGTCGATCCCTTTGTTTAGATTGATTAAAAACCATCTAGGCTAATTAATCGACTCATTGAATCGAAAGAGGAGGAGTCGATAGACCATGGCTCATATGAAATTAGCTTGTCGTAACTGTATTGCCAACGTGTTAAAAGGCTTGTTGATTTATCGTTCACGTTCAACCTCTTGTTACGAAAAGTTATTGAGGACGAATCTCTGAACAAATAAGTTACCGATTCCTTTTAACCGAATGATCTCTTGCTCGACACTTGCTCTTTGAACCAAAACGGATATCCCCGACTCCTTAGCTTCTTTATTGCTTTTCAATTTGCATTTTAGATAGATTTATTTTCAGGCTTTCCCTTAGTTAATTATTATCTCCATCATCTGATTTAGAGTGTTTAGGTTTATTTTCCCTTCTTGTGTTATCAACACCATTGCTAAATTCTAGACCGCCTTCCTCGAGAAATCGACCCAGGGATCGAATCATCAGATTCGATACTCGGTAAAAATAAATAATTTGTACACAACAAATTTGGCGTCGTTGCCGGGGAAGGCAAGTAGGATAATTAGTTTTGGTGTTTGATCTTATTTTCTGTGTTTCACTTTATTTTAGCATTTTTAGTGTTTTTGTTCCTTTTGTTCATTTGTGTTTTTCTCTTCTATTATTGTTTTAGTTTTTGTCTTCTTTTCTCTTCTCTCTTTTTCTTGGCTACGCGTGGTTGTTTTGTTCTGGTGTGCAGGTACAATGAATTTTTATCACGGAACTTCTCCTTGCACGACCCCTCTTGGAACAACGAGCCAGTCTATTTCCCAGGGTACCACTACCAACCGTACCCTTATTCTTCCAAGCAGTGCTGGAACCATCTTCCGGTCGAGCAAAATTATGAGGCCCTTAAGTTCAACGAGAAGCTCGACCGAATTATTGAGTTCATAAATTCCCAAGCAGCTCGAGAAAGAGAGGTCGCCTACCATTTAAAGCTCGACCAGATCCTGGCTTTTATAGAATCCAGAGAAGAAGAGGCAGCCTACAATGCAAAGCTCGATCAGATTCTCGATACTTTGGCATCCCATGCTGCCCGTAAGAGAGATCTGGA